CCCAAGCTGCCGGAGCGTGCGCAACGACGGTGGCGGCTGTCAGGCTTCCGAACGTGCGATGCATATCAGCATCTCTGGGGCGGAACTCCTTGCGCGGGCGACCGGTACACCCGACGCACTTGCGCGAGTGGCCTCGTAACGCAGGGGGCAGGCGAGCAGGTCCTCCGCGGCTACTCATGAGGATCGCGAAGGACGTGCCCCAAGTGGCTGGAGACACAAGAAAAACATCTGCCCGCTGGATGGTTCGTGCTCTGCCTTGCTATGTAAGTACATCCTTGCTCGAGGCTCGCGATAGGTAGGTCTTCCCTCATCGCTCCATCCCTCTCCTTTCCTGCCTCCTCCCTCCCCCCTTCTGTCCGTTCGCTCATACGTCTCCTTCTCTTCCTCCTGCTCCTCCTCCTCCTCCTCCTCCGTCTCCTCCTCCTCCTCCTCCCCCCCCTCCTCCTCCCCCTCCTCCTCCCCCTCCTCCTCCTTCTCCTCCTCCTCCCACTCCTCCTCCTCCTCGACCTCCTGATTTTCAAGTGCACCGTAGACAAGCACGGTGGCGGCGCAGAGCAGGCCGGGCGGACAGCCATGCGACGGCCTCTGGCGCCGTGGCGGACTCGAGGGAAGCATCCCACAAAGGGGTACCAACGGTACCAACCATCTAACAGGGCATATGTCGACCCCTACCCCAGGCATCGTGGGGTTTTCGACTGGAGCGGAAATTTGGGCCCCAACCCTGGGACACACGATTGGGGGGCGTTCATCCTCGATAGCGGTGCGCCCGAATAGCCCCCTGGGGTGTATCCCAGGGTTTCCCTCATGTGCTGAGCGGCCAAACTCTTCCGGCGAAGCGCGGGGATTGGGGGAGAGAGGTCACCTGCGACCATCCTTTGCAGGCTCACCTGCTACTACAGTCGGGGCCTTGACCTAAGGAACCCTAAATAAGGACCGAGGCCCATTTTTCCCACAAGTTCAACTTCGATTTCCCATCGAAACCCTAAGCAAAACCAAAGGCGAACTACAAAAAAACTAAGGAACACCGAGCCCCTCCCCAACCAAAAGGGTTCCTTCTTCAGGGCCCCGACTGCATGCCCCGCGCTCGCCTCGAAACGCTGCTCGTGATCGCCGCGGAGCAGGACCCCGTGCGTCGGCCAAGAGGGCCCGCAGTGCCACATTCTGGCAAGACCTGCGCCACAGTGCAGCCGAACATACGATCAAGAAAAGCGTGATTTATGAGCATCGTTTATCCGACCCCCATCCCCAGCGGCGTGGCCTGGGCCCCACTGCCCGATTTACCCCCCTAGATGGGGATATAGGTCGTTCCCTTCGGGTTTCGAGGGGTGTATCCCCAACTGGGGTGGTAATTTGGTGGGGGTCTCCAGGGGGATGAGGATGGGGATGGGGGTCGGTTAATCGATATTGAATTTAAGAAACCTGGGCCAGCCTTCCAGGAAGCCCCTCGAGACACGCCCGGGCCAAGTGCTCGTGGCAACCCTGGAGGGGCGAGCGCGCGGAAGACACCGGGCCAGCTCTCCGGCAAGATGGCGGAGGAACGCCGGCCCAACTCTTCGGGAGGAGGCTCCCTGATCTGATGCTCGACCGTACAGGGCAGTTTTTAATACATAGGATTTTTTGGAAGATGTAGGATGTTGAATCCATGATTAATTCAGGAATAAATTTTTGCGAGAACGCATCGTTGTTTTTAATACTCAACCCTTGCATTTTTAAATACATGATCCGCACGCGGAGCATGTATCAAAAGCAGCCCTGTACACTGTACGCGCGGAAGTACCGAGTCGACGAGCGCGCGACGGCTGGAGGATCAAACGGGGCATCAGCGCTGGCGGCCGTGACTTCTGCCGGGGCGGGGCGAGGTGCCTCGCCCCGGCGGGCCTCTGGGTCACAGGGCGGTTGTTTTCACACACGGGATGGTTCAAGATATGGGATGTTTCATACACGATCAGTTTATGAACAAAGGTATGCATGAGCTCCTCGTTGTTTGTAATACTAAATCCTTGCATTTTCAGTGCATGATCCGCGCGCGGAGCATGTACTAAAAACGGCACGGTAAGCTGAATCATCGGTGGTGGTCGCATGGCAGTACTTACGCGATGCCTCGGACGGGCCCCCCGAACCGATCAAGCGACGCTTCAAACTTACCCGAGACGTGCCCAACCCTGCCTAAACCACGATAAACGACGACAGTGCCGCCCAGCGGAAAAGAGCACCCTACGCAAGTGGCAGCCCCCACAAGGGGAGCCGCGAGGTCTCGCCTGGACCTTCCAGGAACCCACGGACGTGGCGACGTAAGTGCACGGTTGGTAGCCCCCTGGGAGCCGAGAAGTCGCGCCTCGATCTGCCTATACCTCCATTCTACTGGATCTCCCAGCAACAATCAAGAGTGGCGACGCACGCGCAGTTGGCAGCCCCCCAGGAGGCCCCGAGTTCTCGTCGATGCCTGCGTGGACCTCCACCCCGCGGGCCCTCCCGAGAGCACACGCGAGCGGCGACAGTTACCGAGCAGCTGGCAGCCCCCCAGCACCTCCACGCCGCTGGACCTCCCAGGAGCACACGCCAGTGGCGACAAGCGCGCAGTGGGTCGCCCCCCCGGGAGCCGCGAGGTCTGGTCCGTACCCAGACCCCCGACGTCGTGATTTTTTCATGACGCGACCCCCGAAGGTCTGGACCCCCTTCCGAGGGACCGGCTTTTCGTTCTGAGTCGTTTTTTGACGGTCCCGAGGCCCGGTAAGGGCCCTTGGAGGCCGAAAATAGCGAAAAACCTCCCGTCGTGATTTTTTCACAGCGCGAGGGGGTCTGGGCATCTACGAGCATGTCCATCCCGCTGTGCCTCGCGCGACCACGCGACGATGGCGACGCCCGCGCGGCTGGCAGCCCCCCCCGGGAGCCGCGAGAGGCCCCGCCTGGACCTGCGTGCGCCCTCCGCCCCTGTGGACCTCCCAGGAGCGCGCGGAGGTGGCGACGACTGCGCAGCTGGCACCCCCTCGAAGGATCTGCGGGCGCCTTCACGCCGCTGGACCTCCCAGCAGCACGCGAGCGCGGCGACAGTCGCGCAGCCGGCAGCCCCCCGCGAGGGGCGCGATGTCTCGTCCGAGCCTGCATGCGCCTCCACTACGCTGGGCCTCCCAGAAGCACACGAGCATGGCGACAGCTGCGCAGCTGTCAGCCCGCTCGTTCGGGGCCGCGAGGTCCAGTCTGGGTGGTCAGACGGAGGAAGGTAGGATTTGGTCGGGCCTGTCCCCCTACAGGCGGATTTTGGGCAACAAATTAAAACTAGTTGGAAATATTCAAAAATATTCAAGCAATAGTCAAGAAATAGTCCCTATACGATGTTTTGACTATCTTTGAATATTCCTCCTGTAGAGGGACAGGCACGACTTAATTGAAATTAGGAGTTAGGAGGCAGGAGGAAGAAGGAGAAAAAGGAGACGCGCGAGCACTGCTCTATTCAAAGCCACAAACCAACGCAGCAGGGTTGGGAATAATAGCGAGAAGAGGGGCAGTAAGCAACGCGCAAGGAGTTCAAATGCAGCTCTCTACTCACGCCGAAACTGGCCACGGACTCTGCGCAACCCGTCTTCGGGGGTGCCCTGATCCAGGCCCCCGACGTCACGATGTTTTAATATTGTCGACCCCCAGAGATCTCGACCCATTGCCAGGGACGCGCTTGTCATCCCGAGTCGTTCTTGTTGACGGCCCCGAGGCCCGCGAGGGCCCCCATAAGCCGAAAACAGCTAAAAACCGTCCGTCGTGATTTTGTTCACGGCTTGAGGGGGTCTGGCTTGGGGTGTGCCCGGCTGGCGCGCCCGGCCGGCTGGCTGGCGCGCCCGGCCGGTGCTGGTGGCGCCGCAGTCCTCGTCTTGGACAGGCGTGGAGGGGGTAAGGCTTTGATCTTCGGGTGAACCAACCCGCATCATCGAGGATGAAGAAGAGGATGGGCGGGGAAGAGGTGGGAAGAGGAGGAGGTGGAGGTCTCAAGAGGAATACGGAATCCCTTGGATTGAGCAGGGACCAACCGTCCTGGCATTCCTGTGTGCCTACATGTTCTTAGAACAAAATGATCTTCGAAAAAACAGCAGCAACAACAGCAACGACAACAGTGTTCGAATAACACAAAGCCGATGCACTAAATCAAAACAGTCTCAATCAGAAATCATCTAAGAACTTTGCGTGCATACCACAAGCAATTCTTAGCACATTCTCTGGCGGGCCTACAAGCAGAACGAGACGCTTCGCCGCTGCTGGATTTGGAGGCCTCCCCAGACCACTGACGTGGTGATTGTTTCACAGTGTGCACCCCCAGAGGTCTGGACCCCTTCCAAAGGAACGGTTTTTCACCCAGAATCGTTCTTGGGCGGCCCCGGGGCCTGGTGAGGGCCCCCCGAGGCCGAAAACCTCCAAGGCCTCACGTCGTGCTTTTTGCCACGACGCGTGGGCCCAGAGGCCTGGACTATTTCTGTTTTTGCTCGGCGCCGCGGTCTCGATCCGCGAAAATGGTGGCGCCTCGCTGCGCGACCGGACGCGCGCGCGTGCGCACGGATGCCTCCGCGGATGCGCCGCCAGACGCGCCGCACATGCGGGCGCATCGCTGCGCGACCACCGCGCGGTGGGTCTGCAAGAAAGTGTTTTTTTTGATCCGCGGGTCGAGAGCGAGCCTCTTCCGGTCGAAGCTAAGCGGGCCGCGCGAAGCCTGAATTAGCAGAGGGGGGAACAGAAGGAGAGGCCTCACGTCAAGGCCAGGAGGAGGCAAAGCCTCGGGATCAGGCGGTGCCGAAGACGATGCACTTGCAGAGGAACGCCTCGGACAGAAAGAGAGTGAAACAGGAGGCGGAGCAGAGGAGGCCGAGGAGGGAGTGGGCCCACTTGCCGTCGCTCGGACGTCCATTTCCCGTGTATTTTTAGGTTTCGCGCGTGCTTTTGTTGCTCGATGGTCCAGGATGGTCCTCAAGGGCCCCCGCCGAGAAAAAAATGCACAGGCAGAGGTCTGGGAGAAGGTCCTCGTCTTGCACCGGCTCCCCGTTGCCCCGCAGCAGCTGCACCTGCCCGGGCGCGCGCGGGCGGGATCGCGCCCGCGGGCGCGCGGAGGCATGCGCGCGCGCGCGGGAGAGCCCGCGGCGCGCGGCCGCGGAGGCGCGGCCGCCGCGGGGGGGGGGGTCCTGGCGCGGGGGTCGGCGCTCCTCCTCCACCTCTCCTCCTCCTCCTCCTCCTCCTCCTCCTCCTCCTCCTCCTCCTCCCTCCCTCCTCCTCCTCCCCTCCTCCTCCTCCCTCCTCCTCCCCCTCGCGCGATAGCAGCCGAGGTGCCCGCGGTGGTGCTGCCCGCGGCCCCGCCCCATGGCAGAGGCGGCGGCACGACAATGGACACCCGAACAGTCCGATCATCGAATGAAACATGTGCTCGACGTGCTTTAAAACATCTTCAGGACCGTCTCCTCCTCCTCCTCCTCCTCCTCCTCCTTCTCCTCCTCCTCGGGCCGCTCGCTCTGGGCGCCTCGGGGGGCGCCCGCTCGCGCGGCCGGGGCTCGCCGCGGCCGGAGCGCAGAGGCGCCGCGGCGCGTTCCTTGCTCGACGGGCTCGACATGTGCAGGAGACGGTCCTGAACATGTTTTAAAAAGATGCTTTTGTTGTTCTACATTTTACCAACAGGGTCCACACGTGTTTTAGACATCTGGACACTCTTTGGCAACGTGCTTCCCCTCCGTTCATCGTCCTCCACAAGGAAGCAGTTACTGAGCACCCCCCCTCCCCCCAACGCTCCAAGTTGGCACGCGCGGGTGAGACTGCGGTCGAGGTGCAACGATCATAAGACTCACCGCCAACAATTTGCACACTGGGGGGAGGGGGAGGCGTTGACGGACGAGTGTGGGAAAAGGACGTCGGGCGGCTCGAAGAAACCCAGACGTCTTGTCATTGCACCGGCCTTGCAGACGTGCTGCAGCGGATTTGTGAGTAGAGTTCTGCGTGGATTTTTTTCCCGAAGCGGCGAGTGAAAAAGACAAAGTGAATTTCGCGTGGACTTTTGTTTGGTCTTCCTTCCTGGCCAACAAAAACTCCGCACGAAATTCACTTCGAAATCGGGAATCTTCTGACCCAGGTCAATCCAGACCCGGGTCAGCAGGAAACCAAAAAACTGCAATGCAGGAAAAAAACTGCATCCAAACCCGGGTCAGCCAATATGCGCGGCCGCCTCGCGGCCACGAGCGGCTCGCTAACCCGGGTCAGCCAGAGGGGGTCTTCGCAGGATCCTGTAGGATCCAGCGCCCTGGCTGACCCCCGTTTGCACTGACCCCTGTCTCAAGGCTCCCGACGAACTCCGACCGAAATTCTCCAGGCCTGGATAACCCAAAGTGTCCAGATCGCAATTCTCCAGATCCAAACCCTAATTGTGCCACTGATCCAGGCCAATTCTCCATTTCTGGATTCCGACTGATCTGGAATTTCGCACTTCGATCGAAATCCAGAACGCAATTCTCCAAGACTCCAGGCCCATGAGTTCTCCGATCGAAGCCCGCTCTGTTGCGTAGGCACCAGAAGTCTTGGGAAACTCGTGGCGTGGACGGCCGATCCGATACGACCCTCCCTCTCCTCCTCCTCCTCCCTCCTCCTCCTCCTCCTCCTCCTCCTCATCCTCCTCCTCCTCCTCCTCCTCCTCCTCCTCCTCCTCCTCCTCCCTCCTCCTCCTCCCTCCTCCTGCCTCCTCCTCCCCCTCTCCTCCTCCCCCCTCCCCCCCCCCATGCTTATCCTCTTCCTCCTCCTCCTCCTCCTCCTCAATCTCTTCTAACCCTCCTCCTCCTCGTCCTCCTCCCAGATGCGATCTGTCCCAGCAGGCCGCCGGGATCTCACCGCTACGTACAATGGTCAGCCCAGGAGATCTGTCGCCCGACGCCTCTTCGTCTTACTTATCCTTCCTCCTTCGTCATTCTTCTACCCTTCCTTCATCCTCTTCCACCTCCTCGTCGTCCCCGTTCTCCTTCCCATATGTAAAGAGATGTTCACAAGCGCAACGTGACTTGAAACAGACCTTCTCGTCGTCGTCATCGTCCTCCTCCTCCTCATCCCCTGCCGCCTCGTCGTTCTTCTTCTTCCCCTCCCTCTTCCCCTTCATATTCCTCCCTTCTCCTCCTCCTCCTCCTTCACTCCGTCTCCTAATAAATCACTCCTCCCTGTCGCGCCCCCAGACGTGTCGGCAAGGCGGGCTGGGTTTGTTTACTGAGACTTCCCCGCCACTTACGACCCCGAAGCTTGAAATTTGCAACAACTTGACGGATGTAGGGCGGATTGTTTCCAAATGTGTCTCTCGCGCTAGCGCCGCGCACACTCGTCTCAAAATCTGGCAACGGCTTCAAAAATGAAGGGCGGGCCGTCTTCAAAATGTGGTTCTCACCCCAGTGCCGCGCACATTCTCCTTAAAAGTTTGTAGCCGTTTGATGGATGGAGGGCGGGCCGTTTATGGTTCTCCCCTTGGCACCTCGCGCATCCGTCTTAAAAGGTCTGGAGAAGTTTCGAGTATGGAGAGGGTTTCTGGTCGGCTCCTGTTCAACATGTTGATCTCGCCGTAGCGCCTCGCACGCTCGTCATCAAATATTGGAACACGTTCAAGAATGGAGGGCGGACCCATTTTAGAAACTGGCTCTCGCAATCGGACCGCGCAAATTCGTCTGGAAAAACTGCACCTGCTTTAAAGAAAGGTTCGTACGCGCACATTGGTCTGGAAAGTTTGCACCTGCTTTGGCACGATCGGACTATCAGGACGCCGCAGTAGCGTTGATTCGCGGTGTTAGTCCCAGGGGTGGCATTATGGCGCGGTTTTTGATTGTCGAGACGCATCAGTCCCTTGGTTCGCAGTATGAAAGTCCAAGACGTTGTCTTTTGGCACGGCTGGGGATTCCCAACGGGTGCCCCCTCAATGAAGCACCTCCCGCACTGAAAACCAATTCTTGTAAGGACCTGTGGAGAGGTACCGTGGAGGGATGGTGTATTGCAACATCGTTGATACGCCTTGGGTTTACACTGGTCCTCCTCCTCATCATTTTCCTCCTCCTCCTTCTTCTCCTCCTCCTGCTCATCCTCACTTTTCGTCGTCCTCCTGCTCCTCCTCCTCCTCCTCCTCCTCCTCCTCCTCCTCCTCCTCCTCCTCCCACTACTCCTGATCCTCCTCCTCCTCCTCCTCCTCCTCCTCCTCCTCCTCCTCCTCCTCCCACTACTCCTGATCCTCCTCCTCCCCCTCCCTCCTCCTCCTCCTCCTCCTCCTCCTCCGTCCTGCCTCTCATACGCTTTCCTCTTCCCTTTCCTCCTCCCTTTCCTCCTGCTTGTCCTCCTCTTTCGCCTCCTTCTCCTCGTCCTCGTCCTCCTCCTCCTCCTCCTCATCTTTATTATCCTACTCCTCCTCTCCTCCTCCTCGTCCTCCTCCTCGTCCTCCTCCTCGTCTCCTCCTCCTCCTCCTCCTCCTCCTCATGTTCCTCCTGTCCTCCTGTTCCTGCTCCTGGTGGCTAGAGAGCACGTCGAACGCAGCGCTCCCCCTCCAGGGCTGGTCGGCCCTGCGAGGGGTGATCAAACTACCTCGCTCCCTCCCTCCCTTCCTTCCCTCCCTTCCTCGCTCCCTCGCTCACTCCTCTCTCTCTCCGCACTCCTCCTCCTCCTCCTCCTCCTCCTCCTCCTCCTCCTCCTCCTCCTCCTCCTCCTCCTCCCTCCTCCTCACTCCTCGCTCCTCACTCCTCACTTCTCTCTCCTCCTCCTGCTCACTCCTCCTCCTCCTCCTCCTCCTCCTCCTCCTCCTCCTCTTCCTCCTCCTCCCCTCCTCACTCCTCACTCCTCCTCCTGCTCACTCCTCTCCTCCTCCTCCTCCTCTCCCTCCTCCTCCTCCTCCTCCTCCTCCTCCCTCCCTCCTCCTCCTCCACTCCTCCTCACTCCTCCTCACTCCTCCTCACTCCTCCTCACTCCTCTCTCCTCCTCCTCCCTCCTCCTCCTACCCTCCTCCTCCTCCTCCTCCTCCTCCTCCTCCTCCTCCTCCTCCTCCTCCTCACTCCTCACTCCTCCTCCTCCTCCTCCTCCTCCTCCTCCTCCTCCTCCTCCTCCTCCTCCTCCTCCTCCTCCTCCTCTTGCTCCTCCTCCTCCTCTTCCTCCTCCTCCTGGTCCTGCTCCTGCTCCATTCATTCTCCTTATACATAACTTCTCGCTGTCGCGCCCCGAAGCCATTTTTTTACGGCGGGTCGGGTGTTTCGCCTGCGACTTCCTCACCATCTATGACGCGGAAGCTTGAAAAGTGGCAGCAGCTTCACATATGGAGGGCTGGTGGTATTCAAAATGTGACTCTCGCCTTAGCGCCGCGCACATTCGTTTTGACCATTAGAGTTTCACGGATTGAGGGAGGGTCGTTTGCAAAATGTGGCTCTCGCCTCAACGCTGCGCACATTCGTTGTGCAACTCTGCAAGAGCTTCGCGGATGGAGGGTGGATGGTTTTCAAAACGTGGCTCTCGCCTGAGCGCCGCGCACATTCGTATTAAAATGTGCAAGCGCTTCACGGCTTGAGGGCGGCTCATGTTCAAAATGTGCCTCTCGCCTTAGCGCCGCGCATATTCGCTGTACAAATCTCTGCAAGAGGTTCACGGATTGAGGGCGGGTGGTTTTCAAAATGTGGCTCTCGCCTCAGCGCCGCGCACATTCGTTGTAAACATGCGGAAGAGCTTCACGGATTGAGGGCTGCTCCTTTTAAACATGTGGCTCTCGCCTTAGCGCCGCGTGCACCCGTCTTAAAACAATGAAAGGGTGTCACGGGTTCCCATGACCAACGTACCAGACATGGCGTCTTGGAAAGATTCAGGATTGTGCGGAAGCATCAACTATGTTGATTCGCGGTGTTGAAGTCAAAAAATGGCGCTCTGGTACGCTTACGGATCGTCAAGACGCTGCAGTCAGGTTGATCCGTGTCAATGAAATCCCGAGAACAAATGTGTGGCATGCTTTAGGGACTTCAAACGGTTGTCTTCCAACGAGGCAGCT